CCATTGGCGTTCCATGGCTGGCCTGACCCTTACAATTTTAGCCATGTCCAGCAACGCTTCCAGGGCCTGGACTTGGGCCTAGGGGTTTTCGGCTCGACCGCCTGAGCTCTCAATGCGTTATGGGGATGCAGTGGGTTTATTTCAGGGAGATAATTGTTGAGTTGCAGTGGACTGTGGAGATACCTCGTATTCCCTATTCTTCCGTGAGGCGGGCGACATGCCTCCGTCCCCTCAGTCCTCACCGCGGACCTTCGGACTGGTGCTGGGGCTTAGAGCCCGTTATTGGGGCAACTGCCGAAGACGATCTCTCAGCTATGACGATGCGAGATGAAGACGATCAAGGGGAGAGGATTTGTATATAAGACTATTGATGTTGTCTTCTTTTCGACATTATCTCACTCACTCATCACTCACACTTTCAACCTCAACTCCACCACTCTAAACCGCCACCACAACAACAAAACAACCGCCATCATGCAGATCAAGACTCTTCTCATCACTCCCCTCGTCGCCGCTGGCGTCGTCTCTGCTGCCCCCAAGGCCGACACCACTCCCAAGTACACTTACTTCAACGGTCTCGCCCTCCGCTCCGCCAGCCCCATCCACTTCAGCTACATCCAGGCCAACAAGGAGTCATTCGAGCTGAAGCTCAAGAAGCAGGAGGCCAGCTGCTACGACGGCAAGCACCACAACGAAGTCACCTTCCAGCTCGCCGGCGACGAGCTCTGGCTCTACTCCGTCGGCAACCCTCGCCAGCAGGCCTACGTCGACTTCTCCGGCATGGGCCAGGGCAAGTTCGGCTACACCACCGGCGCTCAGCCCATGCCCAGGAACGGCCAGCGCAACGGCTGGAAGATCGACAAGGACGGCATCCTCACCAACGGCGGCTCTGGCTTCGTTGCCTGCCCCAACGGCGACGATCTCGAGAAGACCTCTTGGTCTGTCTGGGTCTACAACAGCATCGACAACCCCGGCGGTAACAAGAACTGCGTTCCCTTCTCCGTCAAGGCCGCCAAGGTTAAGAAGCCTGTTGCCTGCATGTACTCCCAGGTCCAGCCCGACGAGTAAAGTCTGGTTGATGATGGAATGTTTCTAGCACATATTTTTGCATAACCTCTTGGTCGAGGTCATTGGGTTTAGAGGATGACAAGTTATTCATTATAATAGCGTTTGATTGGCCATAAGAGCCTGGATAGAATACATACTCAATACTTATTTGCTTCTATCGACTTTCGTCAATTGCGCATTGTACGTGATGTCTCCAAGTTGAACAACCATCGGTCTTAGCTGTAAACGCTCACCAATCGCTCTCCAACACTTGTGTCACTAGTTGGTGAAATGAAAACAATCTAGTATGTGCTCGATTTGACCGCATTCATGGCAATTGCTGCTCATGACAAACAAAACCAAGAGCAAACCATGAGGCATGAATCAGGGGACTTTGTCCAGCAAACTTCCAATGCATGAATGTCGATCATTGCGATCAGCTAACTGTAATTAGCGCAGCAAGACCCTGGAAGCACACACCCTAACACCCCGGCGACGCACGCCAAGATCTGTTGTCACTGTTCCAAGTTTAGAACCAACAAACACACAAAAATTGAATAACTGTCAGAATGGATGTTTCTTGCATCTACAATAAATGAGCAAAAATGCCAAAAATGATCGCCTGTGTATCACAGGTGGCTGGATCTCTCCCGCCGGGAATTGAACCCGGGTCTCAAGCGTGACAAGCTTGCATACTGACCACTATACTACGGAAGATAACAGGTTGAACCTGTTGTAGTGGGTTGTGGTAGGCAGTGAGCACAGAGAGACTATATTCACAAGGCTCCGAGCCGGCCAAGTTTGACCAGAGATCTCACCATTTGGAAGAGCTGATTGTATCAATTAACTGATACACAAAGGAGCGTCACTTGAGTAATTAGTAATTCGTGAAAACTCACGATTCAGATGTTGACAGCCTGCACATATCCTACTTGCCTATCCAGCATCGTCAAAGACTGCTTTCTACCTTCACTTGCAACACCAACAATATTCTTTCAGTCCAGAAATCATGGAACAACAATGGCCACACCTCCTTGGTAGCCTGAGTCATCTGGCTCGTCTACCCGCTCAAGTCCGGCGATCTCACGCTAGCAAATGGCGGTTACTTCCTTTGACTTGTCTTCCTGGTCGCAGAATTCGGCACAGGCAGGCCACTACTCACTCGACACACAAAACTACGCGTGCCCTGTATTGGGAGCCACTCAAGATCCGAGACATATCTCTCTTCACATGTGTATCATCAATACAGGTCTACTGAGCCATTCTATCTGCTCTTAATCTGGTTTGCATATCCTCTGCTGACTTGCTTGACATTAAGATAGAAGTGAACAACCCCTGATCACCACATCCTCGAGTATATTCCGACTCAAAACTACGAAGAAACACACGTCGCCTTGGGCCAATATGGAAACGCCTCATGCTACTTGTCGTGTACACAATAGCCCTTGCTGTCGTCCGAGATAACCACAGTTGTAATAGAAAGAAGACCAGTGCGAAGTCCTGCAGGTGGACGCCGAATTCTGAGGATTCAGCTTGAGAAGCAAGCACACTTTCGAGAATCTGACTAGATGAGCCATCTCGACGGAAACAGACGAAGCCATACAGGCGAGGAGCCTTGAGTCGAGACTGGGATCTCTACCATTCTGGCTCCCCTCATCAAAGCTTTCATGTACAGCTAAACTGAAGGTCAAAGACAAGCTTCGAGTCTGTCAAGGCAAGACACCCGACCTCAGCCTCCGTCACGACAAGTCGCCTTTCGGTCCAAAGTCCATCAGGAACACCAGTCAGAAACCGCACAGATTATTCTTTTCTTTACAAGAAAACCAGAAACTACACCTTCCGAAGTCAAAGAGCTTGCCGGCATGACTCCAGAGGTCTGCCAACATGGTCTATCATAGTGAAAACGATGAGCTATCCCTTTGGACGCGCAATACACGAGTTACAGCTTAGATGCTGACATGAAGTGAGCAGCTACAGACTTTATGGCCTACAGCCGAAACGACGGTACCTCTTGAAGTCTACCCCATGACCAGTACAGGTGATTGACAACATTTACGCCCACGTTGCGCCGCTTTCCGAACAAACCCTTTTTGTCGCCCACGTATCTTCGGCCGCTCTACAGAAGACCAGCGCGCAATAAGATCATTCCACCAGCCTGCAGACATCGACACCTTGGACTAGTTCCTTGAGTGTAAGATCTTTTCAACCGACAACTTGCAAACACGCCACACTTGTCCCTGACGATCGAAACCATCTTGACTGCATGGGCTTACGATTGAGCTATCCGAAGACCGAGATATCCTGGCGCAATTAGCATCCATCATCGAGCAACTGTGTCTGACAATGGCATGGTGTGCGTTACGTCCCTGGAGCCACGTTGGCGGCCCGACTTATGGTGGTGCTGGCATTACACATGAGAGATTGCCCTCATCGTATCTTCTCGACCTTTCTCATGGGTTAAGCCGGCTTCAAAACAGTGTCGAGGAGCCCTCGGTACCAGACTCTACAACAGTTATTCCTGCTTAGACAAGCATCGGGAGGCGAAGTCTTGTCTTGCACATATGATTCATGACCAAGAATCACAAGATCTTGCAACATGCTGGATTTCCACGACGAAGGCGTATGAAAGCGATGATAAGACAGCGTAAAGCATCATGAACGAACACTACGAGTATTCGAAACCGATTGCGGCCTGCTCGATTACAGAGAGACCTATACTGCGGGTGGCGTTCCGGAACATCGTATGGTTGGTGGATAGTACTATATCTGAACTTAATTAGTCTCAAGGATAAAGAAAGTATATACAGAATCTCACGATATATCAGCTCTACGCCCAATACCCTAAGCAAGTCACCACCTACTCTCCCATTCTCTCCCCTGGTCCCAGTGACGTCTTCTACATGTACAGCGATGGATGAACAGACTCGCCAGACACCCAAAAAGACAAGAAGACCCCTCTGTCTTCATCATGGAGGTCAGTCAGGGATAATGAACAGTATCTCGAGCCGTTCCACGCCCCAATTGAAATCCAACGCAGCATTTCCCTTGTAACCTGTTGCCGAGTGATATGATCTTCCAAGCGCGAACTACACTGGAAGCAGGAAGGCAAAGTTTATAACAGGATACTGTGTCCAGCACAGAATGTGATTTTGAGGTGAGTTGGATGTACTCGCTTTGACCTGATAGATCATTGTTGCTGTTCCACGGTACTGTTTTAGGGATTCGCGATCCTTACCGATGTGGTGCATCCGAGCCATTCTAGGGGTGACATGATCGAGAATTTGGGCAGGGGAATGCGGAAAAGTTCCAACGATAGAAATCTAATCTTAGGTACATCGATAGGTGACGGAAGCGAAGTCTGGCCAACATGTTCTTGAAAGTTTGCTTGTATTTGGAATGTGTTTGACGTCTTGGCTTGATATGTCTCGTTGAGATATCATAAGCTTTGACTATCAATCAACCCGAGGTAACACATATATCTCTCTGTGAATTCGACGAATGTCACGCTCTACACTACTAGAAATGCCAGATATAGCCACAGGGGGCACAATACAGTCTGTATATCAACCTCCACGCATTTAATCGTAATCCAGACCCTCCAGCACACCAGTGAAACCCCCAATCTTCAACTGACTCATCAACAATCTCCCCAGCACCGCCATTGAAAAGTACTTTCTAAGAGTGTTATTTTGAGTTGATAGTCCCCACAGCTGATGGCTCACATCACGCGCCTCACACAAGCCAGTGAAAAGTGCATCGAGAACCAACTGCCTCAAGAGCTCAGATGTCGTCTCACGGACGCATAGACTCATTCGGCTCTTCATCCGATGAGGCCTCGTCGTCCCCCTGAGTTCAATGTTAATCATCTGTTTTAATAAGGGACGGAAAACACTTACGTCGCTTCTAGATGAGGAGTCGAGGGCCTCACTCATCTCTCGCAGCTTGGTGTTGCTCTACTCAAGTCCGGGCGTTCGGCTGTTATTCGAACCCCCGCCAGCACCAGTGAAAAGTGCAACGAGAACCCTGGGTGGGTTCTCGCGCATGTCACCAAGAGCACCCGTGAAGGGCACCTTGGGTCCCGGGCGTTGGGTTGTGACCCGAACCCCCAGGCACACCAGTGAAAAGTGCAACGAGNNTGCCTTCCGAGTTCCCTGGAACAGGACGCCTGAGAGGTTGAGAGCGCCGTCTGGTTGGGCTTGGGGTTGATCACCCAATGCTTGCAGAGCTTCTTCGTGAGTATCGGTCTTGGTCACAGAGATCTAGTCTCCACCACTAGGGGCATCGCTTCCAGTCCAGGAATGCAATCCAAGTCGTGTGCGGTTGAAGAAGCTTTGAAAGACTTGCTCAAACTGACTCCCAGGGTCGCCCTTGATATAAGCCCAGGCAGTGTTTGTGTCTTCTATGAACTTATCGTCGTAGTCGTGAATGCAGCCGGACCAACACCAATTAGGCACTAAGCAGACGTAAAGAGTCACCACCTCACTGAGAGAGAGGTAGTCACGGAGTCTTACATCGTGAGAGACTACTAGCCATGCCTGGTAGACTTCCTCGGAACGGAACTCGTAGTACTCAAACTCCAGACGAGGTGAGTTGGTATGAGGATTGTGGTGGAACATGCGGAGGGGGATGTATCGATCAATAGTTCTCTTGAGCTTCCTGGTCTCCCGGGTCATGCCTTGGTCTAGAGCATATGACAGTGTGGCAAGCAACAGCGGGAGGTTAAGCTCGTCCTCCTGACCAATTAGTCCGTTCGGGGAGACGAGAACATCAAGTAGAAGGGCAAAGACATCGCTGTGAACGTCGGCAATGTATGTTTGCAGCAGGTGCCCCTAGCCTGGCTGACTAGTAATAACATTGATGGGGATCGCGAAGGCTTTGTCTTGTGATTTGAGATCGTCTCGGCCGCGAAGCTCAGAGGACGATGCCAAAGATTCGTGACGAGTAAAGGTATGTGTGAGAGGGTCTAGAGTCAAGGCCCGCCAGTCTCCGAACAAGAATCTAGGGCTGCAGCAGTCGCATGGCTCAAGCGTGCGATGTTCGGGTTGAGAGCTGTGGAAAGTCGCAATTAGCGTGGTAAAGGAATAAGCGTATGCCGGACATACCTCGAAAACAATCCGGTTCTTAGATGGTTAGGAACCAGTGGCTGACTTTCAGGGAAGAAATCCTATTTCCATTGTCAGCTCACATTGCTGACACATGTTTGTGCTGCCACACGCTTGGCGATTAAAGGGGTATGTATTGTGAAGGCGAGGCTTGTAGTGAAGTGAAACTTACTTGGCCGGGGATCATCCAGGGCTGACACCTAGTCCCTTGGTCGATGGACGCCGTGTTGCGAGTCGTAATGATAGCTGTTGGGATAAAATGCTGATCATGGCGGGATACTTCTCTTTCCAACTCCCCAAGGAAAGTTCCAAGCCCGATAGCGCCATTTGACTGGGACTGAGCAGGAGAAATGGCAGGTGCTGGAGTGTCCCAAAGGCTTTGGCTATCAAGAGGAAGCGGTGGGGGAACACGCCCTAGGGCGGCACGGGCTAGGAGGTCAGGGAGAGAGGCACCTCGACGGAGGTGGAGGTGGCTGGCCCTATCTGGGCTCTGGTCAGGAGTAGCCACAATTTCCGCATAGTACTGAGGACTTTGGCTTCTTTGGTCTCTTTGCCGTCCACGGCGACCCGCCACACGCCCCCAGGCATCGTGGAGCCGATCGGAAAACCAGCGACGGGGCATTTCGTCGTGGAATTCAGGGCTTAGGATCCAGAGAAGCAAGGGATATCTGGAAATCAAGAAGGTTAGCTTGGCGATTGCAATATTGGAAACCAGATCGAGAGGCATGAAGAAGAAAACAGACATTGCCAAGAAGTCACAACGCTCAGGCATCCGGATATTTGCAAGGAATGGAGATGGATTTCAGAGTGTGCTGAGATTGAAAAAGCATGAAACTGGCACCCTCCACTCAGCGCTGTTCAAGACACCTTGGGAGACCAGCTGCAGGAGTAAAGACAGAGGAACTGAGGTGCAGGTGTGGCTTCGTGATGTTTGCTCTCGAGGGGAAAAACGTAGTACCACGGTACGCTCATGATATGCAGATGGAGATGGAGGAGAATAAGTAAGCAAACATACCTTCGAAGGAGAACCAAACGCTAGAGTGATGTAGTGCGCAGGAGGAAATCTTATTGTGACCTGAACGTGGAAGCCGCCAATGCCACGGCTGTGAAAAACACAAAATAGTCAGCGAGTTGCCTTTTGTACAGGAGGTGACGAGACCCGCAGGCGGAACAATAAAGCTTAGAAATAGTGATAGCAACTTACCCAAGCGAAGGCCTTTTCTGTCGATTCGAAGCGGAAGGGCTTATGGCTTGTTGGTGGTTTGTAGTTTTCAAGTGTCAAGAGAGCACGGAAACGGGGGACCGCCCTGGGTTTGATTAGGGCTTGGAGGAGGCACCGACCATGCGGATAGAAGGTCGGCGCGGCCCAACTCCGCAGAGGAGAATGCTCCCAAATACTCTGTCGTGACAAAGTAGATGTCAGTAGAGATGGCCAGGGAGATGTCGAGGACCCAAAGGTGTGAGGTGGAGGTGAAGTGAGAGTGAAGATGGGAGGGGAGTGGGAAGGAAGAAAACTGTGTTTGGGGACGACTTGCTGGAAGGAAGTCGGGAAAGGTTTACCCGTGTAGCTCGTGCTTCGGCGTTAGATTTTGGGTGCTGAATCTGTGGGAAAAGGGGTCCCAGCCCTCGCGTAATATCACAGCGAATCGATGGCAGATGATTTGGAAACTAAATGCACTATACCTTGCAGCCCAGTATTCCTAGTGTACCAATTTCAGGGGCGTCTACTGCTGGTGTTTGGGAGATAATGGGGAGTGTTCAAGCTGGGAGAAGCGTGATGAGGTCATATGCAATATCTGAGCTCTGCACCTCACAGGTACAAAGACAATATCACTGCCCAGGCACCCACTGTAACCTACTGAAATCGAAATCCGTGCCCCCTGTGAAGCCAAGCTGCCAACAAAGTGACAGAAATCAAACTAATCTGCTGTAAACCAATTTGGTCATACGCATTTCATGCAGAATAGCAATCAGCCGTACAAAGACTACGACAGTGCAAAGGACTTCATAGAACAACAGCTTCAAAGATCACACATATCACAGAGGATGCATTTTGGGGGACAGTTGATAATGGTACCAAAAAGAACTCCGATTGTAGCAAATTGTATATACACTTTTCCGCCTGTATAGGCC